CCTAAACCCTTTTTGCATCCAGGCCTATTGCGACTGCCGGGTACCCCTGAAAGGAGAGAAAACTGAGGGCCAGGCAAATCTGCAGAACCCTAAACCCCTAAACCCTAAACCCTAAACCCCTAAACCCCATGCCCGGAGGCCAAGACCTGCATCCCACAAGGCGAGACCGGAGCAGCCTGGTGTCCGTCCCCTCGGCATGAGAGGATCGTCGCCGAGTTTGGCCACGGATAGACAGGCCTCGTCCGCAAAGCAACGGCAAGCATCGACGGTTTAGGGTTTAGGGTTTAAGGTTTAGGGCACAAAAGTCAGCCAAGAGAGGCAGCAAGAATCATGATCACCATTAACAGCAAGCAGCGTCAATGACGACACGGAATACCCTAGCCGCAACACCAGCAAGGTTCGACCACCGTGACTGTCATTGCCATCTTTGAAGCCATCGTATGCTCCTACATCGCCATCGCCACCATGGCATTCACTGGTATGAACTCCAAGCCCAGCTTCAATATCGTCGTGATGTGCCTTAGTCACCATCACGACCATCACCAAATAGATTACCGTCATCACCGCGCGCTCCAGCATCATCGCTAACATCCCCACGTCGTCACCATGCACATCGTGTCATCTGACGGCAAGTGTTGCGAGACATGTGCACATGGGGAACAACTGGGAACAACCAACACAAGAAGCATATGTTGCAGCCCGGCTCTTGGTGGATGGCGGGACTTGCAAAGCAGGTTGCGTGTGGTGTTACAGCGAGGAGAGTCTACATGCACCAACTTTGGATTGTGAAAACCCAACTAATGTAGGGTCCTTAATAATTAGAATAGGGTTTGGGGCCCATTTTTCTATAACTAGAATAAGGAGCCCCGAAAATACTATAGGTCCCCCGTTTTGGAGTCCGGGGGACTGTGGGTGTGCACTGTTTTTGATGCTTGATCATGTGTAAATACATCTTCGCACGAATGCTTAAGCTATGAATCGACAACTTTTGCGGCAAGTGAGTTCACTCCATATCAGGCTGTTGGTTATGATTATGTGTCTGGTCTAGAGCTCTAGCGACTAGAGACACGGCCCTTGAAAACGGATCGGCCGCTAGCAAACAAACAAATCTATTGCGGATTTTCCCGACGCTAAGCAAGGGAAACTGGAACGACTTTGTTGCGCCGTCCAGTATATACATGTGTATATATATATATATGTATACACTACGGATTGCAGGCTCCTTGTTCGGCCCTTACAACAGAAAGCTCAAAACATCTTAACAACCCTGGAGCCCTGAACCTAGATTCCCCAAACTAACTATCCTCTCTTCGGCCGTAGCCACCGCTTTTATGTTAAATGATACCGTGAAACCTTCTGGTCCCGCCTTCACCCCCTCTTAAGACCCTATTAGTCCTTGAGGAGCCCGCACTGAGCCACCGTTGATCTTTTCGTCAAAGCCTAAACCCGGAACCCTACACCTTGAACCCTAAATCCTAAACCCTAAACCCTAAACCCTAAACCCTAAACCCTAAACTAAACTCTATCGGGCCCAGGGGCCCCTAGCAAGATAGCAAAGGTCCCAGATCTAAGGCTCTGGCAACTCTGGGGTGTTGTTCAGCAACGCAATCGTGGCTGGCCTAGAGGGCTTAGGGTTTAGAGTGGCGAATTCTGGGATCCTGAAAACAATTTGACGTTTCGAAGAGCGGCTTCGGGAACGGTTTGTGGGTGTCCGGGTTTGCGACTTAGGAGCACTTCAGGAGTTGAGGGTTCAGCGCTTGAGTTAGACGGTTTCCAGGGCTCCATGATACTCATGGGTCTAGGGTTGCGGGATCGTACTAATTCCTCGGTTCCTCCTCCGGTCGTGGGCTTACTGTCAACTCGACTCAAACCCTTAACCACAGAAACCCTGACCCAGAAACCGCTGTTACAAACACAAATCTAAACGATGGGCCCGTGTGTTGCAGCATCCAAACTCTGAACCTTCACGCCGAAGACGCCAAACCTTCATGCCTGAAACCCACACACCTACTTAAAGGATCATGGGACCTAGTAAGTAACTATACTTATAACCCCAATTAGGGGACTTATGACCTTACTTACTAAGTCCCATGATCCTCCAAGTATCATTGAAATCATCCCCAAAAGCCGGGTCCTAGTCCCAAGCTCGTGGGAAAGCTGACCCCAGCACTGAAAGCCCGAACCCTTCAACCCAAACGCCGAACACTCAGAGAGAGGCATTTCGGCCGGCGGTGGATAGACCTGGGGTTTGCAGTTGAGGGTTCAGGGTTTAGGGTTTAGGGTGAACGGGGCTCTGTAGGATACTTTTACATGTTTCTCACGGTTCAAACTGATTCAATATCTACTTCTTCAGTGTCACTTCTCGATGACACCCTACACCCCAAACCTTGACCCCCACACCCCACTGTACTTGCAGGAAGTGTTAACCCTAAGCCCCAAACCCTAAACCCTAAACCAGGGGGTCCTGGAACCCCTTGCTCCACCACACTCGATTCCAACTTTGGAGCTTTAGGTAAGCCCCGATTCCTAACCCTGAGTCCAGGGTTTAGGGATTTAGGGTTTAGTGTCTAGAGTCTAGGCTTGAGGGTTTAGGGTGCAGAATATAGAGTCCAGGGTTTAGGGATTTAGGGTCTAGAGTCTAGACTGTAGGGTTTACGGTGTAGGATACACAGTATCGGGTTTAGGGTTTAGGGGGGGTTGTGAGAGACGGATTGAAATTTAGGGTCGAAAAACTCCAGAAACTTGGAACATGGATTGAGACAGTCCGTAGTTTCGTCTGACGGGCTAGTTTTTTTGCATCTGCCAGACAGGCGCTGAAAGGATAGCTGCTTTTGCAACCCTCACGAAGTATCGAGAAGTCTCCAAAACCCACGATATGCTAAACCCTAAACCCTAAACCCTAAACCCTAAACCCTAAACCCTAGACCCTAAACCCTAAACCCTAAACCCTAAACCCGAGGAGCCTCCCCAGGATAGAGCTGGAGGTTTCTCAAGTTCTTTAGGTACTTCTCGATGACTTCGACTTCTGAAACTGGGGGTTTTTGGGGTTAGCCAAGACAGATAGACAGATAGATACGTAGGTAGGTAGCTAGCTAACTAGCTAGATAGATAGATAGATAGATAGGAAAGATAGGAAAGATAGATAAGACAGATAAGATAGATAAGATAGATAAGATAGATAAAATAGATAGATACATAGATAGATAGATACATAGATAGATAGATAGATAGATAGATAGACAGATAGACAGATAGACATATAGATAGATAGATAGATAGATAGATAGATAGATAGATAGGTAGATGGGTCTGCGAAATTTTACAGAAGCTGTACAGAGAAAATACCACATCGCAAGAATTAGGAACAGAACAAGGGTGGCCTGGGATTGTGTGCGCCTATGACTACAAAAGGAAACATGCAGTGGTGAAAGATTCGAGTATGAATTTTGCTGAATTCCAGATTGATCAGCAGGATGGTGGTGTGTCTGTCTAGCACACGCTCACACGTGGACATTCCATAAACAGAGCCTGTAGAACTACAAACCTGCATCATCTCAAATGCAAGTATGCGAGAACCCAAGGTGAGGAGAAACCCAGGCAACAATCTAAACCCTCAACCCTAAAACCCTAAAGCCCTGAACCCTAAACCCTAATACAGCAAAGCTCTAAGGCCATAGCTTCCCAGCTTTTCCGACCCAGAGACCCGCCCTTTAACCCAAAAGCGCCCTAAATCCCCAATGATTCCCTACACCCCCAACCCCCAAACAAACGGCGTGCTGTTTAGGGTTTAGGGTTTAGGTTTAATGTATAGGAACCCTGAAAGGAAGAGGCTGCAAATTTCGAGCCCCGTCTCGCCTCTTCCGGCGCTGTCCACACGGTGCAGTCCGAGTCGAAGAGCCAGCCGATGGGTGCTCGAATGTGCCTTTGGGCGTCGGCTTCGGATAGGATCGTCGGTCTCAGGGTCTAGTACCGGGGCCTTAGTAATTACCTATACTTTTTTTTTTTTTGGTTTTTTTTTTGGTGGTGGGGGGGCGGTCCTCATTGTAATTGTAGATTGTCAAGGCCCCTGCATTAGATAAACCCTGAGCTACACCCGGGCTATACCCCCTAAACCCTAAACCCTACATGGAATATAGTCTATACTATGATATGCCCCCACCACCCCTATTCTGACTCTGAGGGAATGCGGGAGGCGGGAGATGTAGTACGGAGCTGCTAGTCAGTATAAGAACGAGGTATTTCCTTTATGGTGTCCATAAGGGGTACTATGGGGGTTGAGCATAGGAGCCTTAGTAAGTAGAGTAGGGTTTGGGGGAATTAATATACCAGAAACTAAGCAGTAGTATTTGGCCAAGGTTCAGAACCCCAAACCCTAAACCGTGCAAACCCTACACCCAAACCCTGCAAACCCCAAACCCTAAACCCTGCAAACCCTAAACCCTAAACCCAAACCCCTGCAAACCCTAAACCCTAAACCCTGCAAACCCTAAACCCTAAACCCCTGCAAACCCTAAACCCTGCAAACCCTAAACCCTGCAAACCCTACACCCTGCAAACCCTAAACCCTG